CCCCTCTGGTGGCCATCACTTTGTTCTCTATAGTTAAGAGTCTGTTTCTTGGTTTCTCTCTTTTTCCTTTGCTTGTCTGTGTCTTAAATTCCACTTATGAGTGAAGTCCTATGGTATGTGTCTTTCTCTGACTGACTTGTTTCACTTAGCATAATATACTCCAGCTCCATCCATGTCGTTACAAATGGTCAATATATATTCTTGAAGAAGAATAAACAAATAAACATTGCCTATGGCCATATAAATAGAGACCAGTATTGCTTAATCTGGTGCCCTGATATGATCATTGTAAGTCACGTGTATTCCTGATTAAAGGCAGTCTTTAACTGAACAGCTATTTGACCCATTCATTTCTTTAGCTCTAGTTCCTGACTCATGTCTTTCCCCTATGTACTTAATGCAGTTTTATTATACTTCTAAAATGAAAACAATTCCATTTACCAAAGACCTGTGATCAACTGAAAACCCATTAAAGGCACAATTAACTTTGAAAATGGAAGTGTAGGCAGAAGTCACATTCACAAATTGGCTCTTTCTTTCCCTGTGTGTGGGCATTGGGTGTTCCTTGTTGCCGGGCCACCTATACTAAGAAAATTCCGCTTCATCCTTGTAACCCTGCATGGCCTTCTAAGACCGCTGAGTCTCCATTTGCTAGTGGACTCTCTTCACCACTGTAGTCATAAAGACCAGTTCTGTTGCTTTTTAAGGGAATAAACAGGCTAGACCACTAAGACTAGAAAGCGTATTTCCGTTTTGCCCTATTTTGATCAGATTTGAACAGCAAATATTACCCGGGGAAAGGCCCGAGTTGGTCTGAACTGCTTGATTGTGATTTTATCCCGCAGCACCTCTGTTTCCCCTGGCCCTGGCTCTGTGGCTCAGTGTCTAAATCAAGTGAGTGCTCACCTCGATTCCTTGAATGCTAATGAAGGGCTCCTGTATTTCAAGGCAGGGAGCTCATTTGTGTAATTTATTCCTGTGCAGCATTAGAACCATGATGCATGCTTTCTTCTTTCTTAACCTTTTTAGATTTAATTCAAACAGCAACAACCAGTGTTAAGGAGGGCGCTACTTTTGATGCATCATCTTTGGATTTGTTTCTCAGTATGGTGGAGTGAAATTTCCTTATTCCTGCCAGTTGTTGAGAGGCGTGTCAGAGGAGGGGGAACTCATGCTTCCCGTGGAGTTTATAATCAACTAATTCTCATCTTGAGGACTAGAGTAGAGTTGAAGTATCCATCTCCTTCAAGGGCTTAGCGATAAAAGCAACTTCTTCAAAGCCCTTTATCACTTGCCGACTCCCCCTGCAGCTGCTCCACAGCCTGTGTGCAGCCCCTACTTATGGGGCTACATTTGCGGAGTTACGCCTCTGACTTGGCTGGGCTGTCGTCTGACGATTAGTCTTGCGGTAATTATGGATGGCATATTTGCAGCATATTTATTCCTTTCCTCAGCTCACTTGGATTCACACTGATTTTGTTTAGTCAACAATCTGACAGATTACCCTTGGTATTTTTTTTCTTTCAATTGTACCTGGGCTTATCACTCTGTCACAGAACACCTTAGGAACTCAGAGCAAGAGTTTAGTATTTCTCTTGACGGAGGTCCGCCTTCCGTTGACGTGGCCAAATGTCTAGATAAGGGTCTTGCTTCAGAGCTGTTGTGAATTCTGAATTCTGCAGGTAGCTGAGGGAGGGTTGGTGGATATCACTTAAAACCCTGCCACAGGCTGTTTGTTGTCGATCTCCTACTCTTTAATGTTCACTCTCCCAGCCTGGGTTAGGTCTGCATGGCTCCCTAGCAGGTTCTGTCTCCTATAGATTCTGATAACCCCCGTTAATCATCTTTTAAGGATGGATTTTTGCTACATGTCAGGTATTAAAAGACAAACAAAGGAAATAAACACAGGATTAAACTCATAGTTGATAGAAAACTCGGTGTTCCTGTGATGAGGGTACATTTGGACAAAGTGGATTATATTCTTGGTTATATCTACTGGTTATCTCAAGCATTTTCTTTTGCTGTTCTTGCTTCTGTTATTTGGTTTTGTTAAGGAGCCCCCCCTTGCCAACGTCATTAAAATACACTCTTTTATCGCGGACAAAAGATTCAGCTTCATGATATAGTCTGTTTAACTGGTGCTGGAGGAATTATGATGTTCCTTCACTGCACGCGCTCCTTTCTGCTGGGGTCGTTTGTAAACTCCATTACTGTGGCTGCTTCTTTGGCTTGCTCCCGGGACAGGAAAGAGTTGGCATGGCAGCCTTGAGACAGCTATCCTTAGAAAGATCTGCTTGCAAGGTTGGCAGTTGGCTGGGCTCTGGGACTGTGACAGGTAAATTGTCTCCTACACTAATATAAACCCTTCGCTAAAGGATAAGGGTGTCTCCTGTACCACTGTGCAGACAACACGGTTATGCTGACCACCTGCTTTTCTTCTAGGAGTCTAGAATTTTGGTATGTGCTAGACAAAGGGTGCCTACATAAGTAGCAGAGTATAAACCCTGGGCGCCAGGCTCTAATGAACTTCCCTGGGCAACAGTATCACACATTTATTGCTGCATTTTTGTTGCTGGGGGAAGAGTGCTCTCTGGGTGACCCCTCATGAGAAAGAGAGAGAGAGAGAGAGAGAATAAAGAATCTTGCACCTGGATTCCTCTAGACTTTGCCTGTTTTTTCCCCTTATGATCGCACTGTGTATCCTTACTATATCACTCTAATAAATCTTAGCTGTGAGTACAACTATATTCTGTGCCCCAGGAGTCTTTCTGGTAGATCTCTGAATGTGGGGTGGTCTTGGGGACCCCATTAGTTGCTATGAGATTCCAGAAATATCCCTTGATGGCATTATCCTCAAAGATGCTAGTCTGATCCCTAAACTTCTTGGTTGCTCATGCAAAACCAGGCATCTTTCAGCTTAGATGGTAATGTTTACTTTGTTTGTGATTACTCTTTTACTTCCCTAAAGGAGATTGCTCTGCTCTATTAAATTGGATATTTTGTGACATAATCTCTAAAGTTAATTTACGTCAAAATCTGTGTCAATCTAACATCAATGGTAGCTGACAAGCTCTAACCATTGGCAAGTACGATTTAATGTTACATTTTAAAAGAACAGATTTAGAAGAAACTCTGTAATACTGCTGGAGTTAACCGTATTGACAAGTGGGCCCTCAAAACTGTGCCCAGATATTTAACAAACTCTCTGTCACTTTTAGAATTCAGTCTTAACCAGGTATTTTCTGGCGACGTGGAGAATTAAAGGGATCATGCTGACATGATCTCGAATTTTGGTCTTGTTCAAAAACATGTTTTTATTTTTTCTTAAAGATGCTTTAAGGTAGCATCATATGTAGGCACCACAGTTTGAGTGATGCTGCCAGTTGGTCAACAGTAATGCTTTTAACTGCCTTTAACAGTAACGTTTTAACTGCTCACTGTAGACAAGGTGCTGAAAATATGCACCAAACAGTGATTCCATAACAGAATAGACAGCTCTGGGTGGCCATGTGGTTCAGATTAACTTTTTAAAGATTAACTTGTTAGGACATAAGAATAATTTTAACTCTATGGACATTCCTTGGCTCAGATAACAGGTCCTGCTGTGGTATGAAGCATACCTTTAAAATAAGGTATTTTTTAGAAGTGACAAACTCTCACAGGTCAGTTTCATCTTCCTGGATTGCTTATTTCTCTGGGGTGCAAAAAGTTACTCTATTCCAAGAGTAAGATTCTTTACAAAGGATTAGCGCTAGTGCCATTTAATAGGATCAGGCCTGTGCTTGTTGCTAATATTAATATTTTATTAGATCCAAGCATTAAGGATGGGAAGCTGGGATGAAATCTTTCCTGGGGCATAGAGCCAAGCCTACAGAAACTTCTCAATGCTTTCCTTAGTTTAGTACTTGCCAGTCCTTTTGGGGTTTCAAGATCCTGAAAACAAAGTTTTTGAGGGCATTTGAATTCAGATATTTCAACTGAACTCAGAACTATCCTGCCCTGCTAACTAAGGAAGTGTTCAGCCAATTATTAGGTAGTTTAGGAAAGTTGCCCATTATTAAGGTAAGCATAATTGGAGGGAGAAAAGTGTTATTTAGAATGTGTGTGTGTGTGTGTGTGTGTGTATGTGGTGTGTGGGGGGTGGGGGGTGGGGGGTGGGGGATGGAGAGATGAAAGTGAGAGTCTAGATCAACAATTTGAGCTTATTATTCAGGACCGCAGTTAGGCCGCATTGCCCTAATCTGGACAGGTATTATCAGGACTGTCCTTCACTGTTCTCTGTCTGTCTTTCTGACACTCCTTGAGATTAATTACAGCCCAGCTCAGGGGCTGATGCATCTCATGCAATGACCACCCAGCAGTTTCTTAGTCAAGCTGTCAGTGGTGCCTTCAGTGGGCTCCTGAGAAATACTATTAAAGGCTTCTGAAGGCAGATCTAATGCACTTCCATGCCTTCCTGAAAAGCACAGAGATACACAGCATAAGAGTGAATTTTTGGACTATCCCTAAGTGCCAAGAAAATGCAACCACTGCGTAAACTGAAGTTTACATTCTAATCTTCCCACCTGAAGATTTGTTCTTGCTTTTCCCCTGGCCCCAGTCACATACCCTACAGGGCAGTGTGAACATGAGTGATTTTACGAAAAAATTAATAAATTACTGTGAACTCAAATGAACAGAGGACTATTAGTCAAATTGCAAAAGTTCTAATGTATAAGTGGTGGCTGGATCTCCCTGCACACTCAGAGATGCCCTGAAAGGTCCTCTATTTGCTATTTTAAACATCACTTAACCAAGGGAACAAAAGAAAGAGCTCACACACATGTAAATCTTGTGCTGCAATGTACATATGCATATATATATCTATATATCTATATATCTATTGATAGCTAAATATATTTAGGTAGAATTGGAGAACTGATATAGTTTTACAAATAAGCAGAGGCATTTACAGTACACAGAAGAAATAGATAAACGGTGAATCAAAATGTGAAACGTACCATACTCCGGGACCTGCCCCGTCCCACGTTTCAGCAGGAGACGGACCCTTCTTCCTCCCGACTTGATGAGTTCTATTGCTCTGGCGTGTGTCATGTCCCTTGTGCTCTCCCCATTGATTTCGATGATTTGATCTCCTACCTGTTAATTAAGGAAACGTTAACTCAGCCAAAGTTGGTTCTACTCACACTGCATTTCCAACAGATTAGAAAAGCATCCTTTAGAGGACCAGTTTCCAGAGAGCATCTGAACAATTTGGTTGCAGTCTGCTGCTTCTTAGAAGTGGCTAATTCCTGGTTGCATCCTGAATCTGACCACCAAACTTGATTTACCTTTACAGGAATTAAAACATCAGATCATAACATTGGGGTGCTATGTTATTTTTAGTCAGTGTGGCAGAGGCTTTAAACTTTTAGTATTTTTTTAAAATTAGGGAATATGTTTGATACCACAATTCCAAATAAACCTGGCACCTTTGCTTTGAAACAAGAAGTAAATATTTTAAGGCCTTTTCATTGACTACAGTACCAGCATTGGGCTTAGTGCAGCATTTAATTCAGTATGCTGGATGGGATGATTGGTTTTTGGGCTTCTCTGAGAATTTTTATCATGCATCATTTAAATTTCCCTGGATGCTATTGTGATATTGCCTTCTTTGTAAACATGGCTGATTGATATTCAAGTTTGATGATGAGTTTTCTATCACAGTCCTTTGAATTAAAAATGAGATCCTCCATTCTCCACACATGACTAATGCCCTTGTTAAATCTTTGCCATGCTCACACCTGATTGCCAGAACTGTTTGGTTAAATACCAATTCCTCTTGAATTGTTAGAAATGCCTGGGCTCCACAAGCAATTCCCATTTAGCCTTTGCCCATAGATATCTGGAATAAAAGAGGTTCAACCATGAACACATCATGTAACTCCCACAGTACCATTACTGTCAGGAAACTTTGAATTAAAATATGTTTCATTTCAGTGCAAGTCACTTAAGATAAATTAGCCAGGAAAAGCAGAATGAGTTGCTTTGCAAAAATGCTATTTTAGTTGGGTCCCTTAAAGCAGATCTCAGCCTAAACTCTATAACGCAGACAGAACTGCAAATAAACTATCGCAGAGCATTATCAAGGTGGGTGTGGGGCAAGAACAAGAACAAAACGTGGCCATCACAATGGCGAGATGGCACTAAAATAAGACCACTCCCCACCCTCAAAATGGGGGAAAGAACAAACACGTTTGTTTTAGCAGGGGAGCAACATCTTTATTCATTCATTCATTCATTCATTCATTCATTCCTGTTTTCTTTTAAAGATTTATTTTTTTATTTGAGAGAAAGAGAGAATGAGCAAGGGAGGGGCAGAGGGAGAGGAGGGAGAGAATCCCAAGCAGACTCTGCGCTGAGCGTGGAGCCTGACGCGGGGCTCCGTCCCCGACCCATGAGATCATGACCTGAGCTGAAACTCGGAGCTGGGCACTCAACCGACTGAGCCACCCAGGCGCCCCATCTCTTTATTTAAAGAGGACTCGCTAAGGATAAGGACTTCAATGTAATGAAGGCAAAGACTTTCCCCTCCCCTTTGTGTACAGTGATCTTTGAAAGTATGGATTTTGGGCAGTGGAAGAAGTTTGCCTCACTGGTATGACTTCCACATTTCACACAAGAATCATGAACGACAGGACTAAATTGATTTGTTTTAGAGGCAATGTTTGCAACATTTTTCTTCAGGTCTCCTTAATGGTCTCCTTTCCCATAAGGCAATTGCATATCTATACTTATGCTGCGTATATATACATATATATACATATATATATATATATACATACATTGTGTGAATTTTGAAGTATCAGTAAGAATTCCCTGGGTGAAGGAGGAAGACAAGCATTCTAGGCAGAGAGAGAAGCATGTGCAAAGACCCTGAGACTTGAGACCATGGTATATTTGGGGAACTGTCAGTTAGTTTATTCTGCTACTCAGGAGTTGAAGCTTTATTTATTTTTATTTTTTTAAAAAAGATTTTATTTATTTATTTCTTTGAACGGGGGGAGGAGCAGAGGCAGAGGGAGAGAATCTCAAACAGATTCCAGGCTAAGCACAGAGCGTGATGCGGGGTTTGATCTCATGACCCTGAGATCACGACCCGAGCTGAAACCAAGAGTTGGACGCTCAACTGAATGAGTTACCTCGGTGCCACCAGGCTTTATTTTAAAGGCAACAGTAAAACACTGAAAATTTTATTCAGCAGCCTGACCAGGGAAGCAAAGAGATGTTTAGAAATCTCTCTGAGGCATTATGGAGAGTGGACTGGAGAGGAAGTGGGAGACTGAAGAAGGGAGCTGAAGTCGTGAGGTTATCACATTGTCTGTCCAAGTGAGAAACTGGGAGGCTGTGGGGAAGGAGATGGTGGGGCAAATGAGGGCAGGGACTGCGTTCTTTTTAATTTCATTTATCTATCTATCTATCTATCTATCATCTATCTATCTATTTGAGAGAGAGAGAGAGAGAGGGAGAGCTAGCAGGGAGGGGCAGAGGGAGAAGGAGAGAGAGAATCCCAAGCAGACTCTCTGCAGGGCATGGAGCCCAACAGGGGGCTTGATCCCATGACCCTGAGATCCTGACCTGAGCTGAAACCAAGAGTCAGACTGTCAGCCGATTGAGCCACCCAGGCAGCCCATGGGACTGAGGGTTTTTTTTTTTTTATGTTATGTTAATCACCATACATTACATCATTAGTTTTTGATGTAGTGTTCCACGATTCATTGTTTTTGTATAACACCCAGTGCTCCACGCAGAACGTGCCCTCTTTAATACCCATCACCAGGCTAACCCATCCCCCCACCGCCCTCCCCTCTAGAACCCTCAGTTTGTTTCTCAGAGTCCATAGTGTCTCATGGTTCATCTCCCCCTCCGATTTCCGCCCCCTTCCATTCTTCCCTGAGGGGTTCTTTTTAATGATGTATCTGGTATGGCATGCCCGGTACATATTTGTGAATGAATGAAGCATTTAGACATGGCTTATCTTGAGAATCATGGGAGAAGGGGTTATAATAGCACTCTTGACCCCCAAATCAACCCTTGACAGCCACTATTGCCTGAGGACACTTAGGTCTTGAGACTGACTCTAAAATAGTCATGTAGAGGGCAAAGGAATCTCGTGGTGTCACAGAAGTGGTCACATGTCATCTGCATTCTGGTCACACACTTGAGTATAGCAAGACTTAAAAAATTTGATGTATCATTCTCTTGTGCATTTCTTATGTTCCCTTTCCCCTACTAAGAGCTCATGAGAACTGAGGGAAGAAACATTAACAGGGGAGAGAGAGGTGGTGGGTTGGAATGCGCAGGGCTGGTTGAGAAGCAGAGGGGTTCAAGGGCTGCATGGGGGCCACACTGACTTCTCCTGGGCAGGAGTTTCAGGGATGGGGCTCTGGGAAAGGTCAGTGCTATTATTTTTATTGAGCACCCAGGAGCATGGTCTGACCTCTTGGTGTGGCAGATTTCCACACTTTTAGCTTTCGATATAGGGTCTCCTCAGAGGGAGAAGAGAACACCTCTGATGCTGACTGGAGCGAGGATCCTTAGCCTTCATCTAAGACTTCCAGTCCCTTCCAAAGTCCCCACCCCATGACAGGATACTGGAGGATACTGTCTCATTGGGGGAAATGGAAGTTTGGGAGTAGTCCAAGATCTTAACAAATTCAGAAAAAAAAAATTGGTGTGTGTGGGAGGATGCTGGTCAGGTAATAAGATGGAAAGGCCGTCCCTGTCACAGACTTTGAATTTTAGAAAGTGTGCTGAGCAGATTATAAAAGTGGGCCAACGCATTCGTACCTAGTGTCCTTGGTAAAAAAAACTTAATGCGGGGCCCAGACTCAAGACCTCTGTTCCTTTTTGTGACATGATAGAAACTGTACAAAAGGCTTAATTTTTATTTTTACCCCACTGTTGCTAGTATGCACACTCATCTTAAATGGGACTCCCTCAATAAATTTTGGATTTGATTCCTTTCGCTTTCATCCTTAGTATATGGATGTATAATGAGATTGAGTCTGTCAGGGGCAGAAGAGGTTCTCTGGTTACCTTCCTATTTCGTCTGACTTCACTGCAGCTATCAAGATGTGGCCAGTTGAAGAGCATCATTTTCCTCCCTCACATGTGAATCAACTGGGAGAATTAATTTGATAAAACCATTGGGAAATTCGCAGTCCTTTCAGGGATAAAGGTAGTCTGATAGTCTTCTCTTTCTATAGTTTCTGTTAGAGAGCTATCTTCAACTAAGCTCGTTACTAAAATGGAACTTTAGAAATCTCCTCTATTTATTGGGGCATCTGGGTGGCTCAGTCAGTTAAGTGTCCGACTCTTGATATCAGCTCAGGTCTCGATCTCAGGGTCGTGAGTTCAAGCCCTGCTTTGGGCTCCACACTGGGTGTTAAGCCTACTTAAGGAAAAAAAACAAAAACAAAACCAAAAAACAACCAACCACCCCACCTGTTCTTAGAGAATTTTTAAAATATCAAGCTCTTGTTAGAATTGAGAGAGAGAGGAGGAGGAGGGGTACAGGGAGAGAGAAAGCGGGAGGTGGGGAGAGAGGGAGACCCAAAGTTCACAAACATGTGTGTGTTAATTTGTGTGTGTCAAGGAGATGTCAAATTTAGAAAACTAACCAAAGGATTATTCTAGGCATTCATTTTTTTTTTTTTTTCCTATGGAAGAAATACTTATATCTGTGGTCCCCTTGGGGCAACTAACAGCCCTACAGCAATGTCTTAGGGACAAGGAATGAGATAAGACTGCCCTCTCACAAACTGATGGTTGGCTGAGGGGACGGCCGTGGGGTGATGGGCAAAATGGGTGAAGCGGGCAGGGAGGTACAGGCTTCCCGTTAGGGAATGACTAAGTCACAGCGGTGAAAGGTACAACTTAGGGAAGCGTCTGTGGTACTGTAATAGCGTGTATGGTGACAGAAGGTAGCTACACTTGTGAGCATAGCATAATTCATAGACCTGTTGCATCACTATGCTGTATACCTGAAGCTAATGTCAAACTATACTTCAATTAAAAAAAAGGGGAAAAAAAAAAAAAGAAAGGACAAGACTGCCCTCTCTCAGCACTGCCTAATAAGTTCCGCATTTCTACTCCTA